AAAAAATAAATGTTTCACAAAAATCCATAGTGCCAGAATTTTTTGGGCGGTTAATTCGGCACAACGATTTATTCATTAATTTAACAAATTAAAATAATTAAAAACATGCATTTAAAATTAAAATTTTTTAAAACATGCATTTTAACAATTAATTTTGAAATTAAATACGTTGTTATTTTACGAAATTGAAAATTACAGTATTTAATTAAATAATTTGAAAGCCCTACATTTTCATTAAATTTTAAACTTAGGTTAAATTCAAATTCCGGGGGCGGACAGCTAAATATTTTTAGACGTTTTTAACTGATCATTAAATCGAAATTAAATTTTGCTAAAATCGATTACGGTGGGTAAATAATTTAAAAACCGTTTTAAATTAATTTTTTTTAATTTTAAAAATTTAATAAAATTAATAATTGAATTTAATTAGTTAATGATTTCAGTTTTAAAACTTTAATTAAATTTTATTTTAAAAATTAATTTAATTTAATTTGAATTCCGGGGGCAGACAGATGGCCCTCGTGTCTATCTGATGGTCAGCCTTATCAGTTATGCCCTTTCGGCCCACCGCCTTCTGCCGTTTTTTGTAGTCTGTAGCCAAAAGAGAGAAACAGGGGCTAGGGAAATTACCGGAATAATCAATTCTTTTCGCGGCTTCCGAATTCCGATAGACTCCTCTTTACGCCCCAATTTTAAAGATTTTTTTAAATAATTAATATTTTGTCCGCGAAAGTGATGAAACTAAGGTTTTCCCGAATTTGCACTTTTTAATTTTTTGCGAAACATTGATTTCTCGCGTCAAAAAAAATTATTTATTTGTTGATTAAATTGATTAAATTAAATCTATAACATTTTCAAATAGCATACAGTTGTTTAATTCTCGTTAAATTCCGCCCAATTCCTATTTACACGCTGATTTTTCCGCATTTTGTAGGTTTTTAGCCAAAAAAGCCTATTTTTATGGCATTTTTGAATAAAATCGATTTAAATCTTTTTAGATTCGACCTGAATTCCGCTAGACTCCTCTTTACGCTCCGATTTTAGCCGGGTTTTTCGAATGAAATTTTGCGTTACAGAACCTGAAATAAGAACCTGGTATTCCCATTTTTTCTGGCTTTCACTTTTTACTTTATAACGAAACATGTTTTTTAATCAGAATTTCCGCCACATTCTTAACTACGCCTTTAATTTACCAGATCAAAAACTTATCGTTTGCCGCAATTTGCTTCTCAAATTCCAGATTCTCGAAAGTCACATTTTTTATGGTTTCGTGAAACATTCGATTTTTCCCTATATTTGCGTGAATTTAGGAATGAAAACTGGACACTGTTGTTTACTGTAGGTACCGCTAAAACGGCTTAATTCCGCTAGACTCCTCTTTACGCTCCTATTTTTGCCGGCTTTTTGGGATTTTTGCCGGATTTTTTTTTTGCGCTTTTCACAACATTTAATTGATTGAAAAAGTTGTTTGAAATTGAAAAAGGATGCCTTCCCTTTGACGCCTCCGGATTTTGACGATTTAAAAACGATTAATATTTTTTTTTTACGTCGCCAAGTAGATGCCGTACTGCTGTATACCCGATTTTGCGTTTTTTAATTTGTCACGAAACATGCATTTTTTTTTTTAGACAAAAAATTCTAAACGTTATTTTTAAGCAGCATTTTCCGCTAGACTCCTATTAACACCTTTAATTTACCACATCAAAAATATTATCGTCGACAAATTATGGTTCACTAAATTCCAATCTTTGCCGTTTAATTTACACACCCTTTTTCAGCCGATTTTAAATGGCATTTCTCTAAATTTCCACTTATTCGTATTTTATGAAAATTGTCTGCTCTCAGAAATTCCATTTTTTAACTTGGATCAAAACATTGATTTTTAAGTCAAAAATTCTGGGAATTTTCGATTCGACGAACCGAGAGATGGAGGTGAGCGTTCAATTTTAGGTGCAATTAAATAATAAGAAAAATCGACTATGATAAGCTTGTTTTAAAATCAGGTCAAACATTCCTATAAAATTTGAAACCGAAAAAGTTTTTCGAAAAATTGTGTTTCAAAAATTATTGGTAAAAAATTGTGAAAATTTTATCGTAATTCGACTTGCAATCTTCCGTAATTAATAAAATGCATAATTACCGAATCAATTTAGATCTAATTTTTGCGCTTTAAAAAATCAAGAATAATTTTTCAAAATTAAAAAATCAAAGCCTAATTAAATTAATTGCAGCTATTTTTTATTCAATTCTTCCATCTCAGGCTCACGAGCGAACGCGACTTCTCACCGAGGGCTCTTCCACCTCGATTCGGATCCCACATCAGAATTCGTATGGAATGACGGGCAACGAAAGAAGTATTCCACTCAATCAGAAAGGTAAAAATTTAGCGAGGCCACGCCCCGTTTTGCCTTCAATGGGCCTTTAAAAGTTTAGATTTGAATTTAAAGGGTCTTGTAAACGAAGTTCTACTTTTTCCGCTCCCCCCTTTGCCTTCAATGGCCCCTTAAAGGTTAAAGGTATTTTCCGGTATTTAAAGGAATGTTGAAGGCAAGAAACTGGAAAGCTTTTAGACTAATCAGCCACTTTCCGAGAAAGTGTTTCAGCTTTTTTCCTAAATTAGCGAGCTTGAAACATATCAATGTGAACTCATGTCGTTTTCCATCACCTTAAACCACGCCCCCTTTTTGCCTTCAATGGGTCTTTAAAAGTGGTGAAAATTAGATGGGTCGCATCGGTCAGCCGATTGCAATTTTTCAATCTTCACGCAGCAGCCATTGTTTTGAAACATTTTCTCACAAACCTAGAAATAAATTTTTCGAATTCTAAATGTTGCCTTCCCGGGGCCTTTAAAATCAATTTTTTTTCGATATGTAAAGCGGCATTGAAGGCCAAGAATTGGGCAGATGTTAAATCCATCAGCCATTCTCCGAGGAAATGTTTCAGTTTTTTTCCTAAATCAACGAGCATGGATTATATTAATGCTCCGCCCCCTATCATCCAAATTCATCACCTTAAGCCACGCCCCCATTTTTGCATTCAATGTGCCTTGAAAAGTGGCGAAAATTAAAAGCTCCCTGTTGAGATCCGCTAATTGCAATTTTGCAAGCTTCACGAACCAACCATATTTTTCAAACATTTTTTCAAAATCCAGAAAATCAAATTTTTGGTGTGCTAAAATCGTTGACTTGCAGGCGCCTTGAAAATCGATTGTTTCGGGGTTTAAAGGGATATTGAAGGCAAAAAACCAGGAAGATTTTAACATTTCCATTTTTCCGTTTTCCGAGAACATGTTTCAACCACTTTCCTCATCCAACGAGCTTGAATGCTGGCAATGCGAGCCGGCATTTGACGAGCACGTTCAGCACCTTAAACCACGCCCCTTTTTGCCTTCAATGGCCCTTTAAAAGAGTCGAAATTGGAGTGAAACATACACAAACGTACATTATCATTTTCTCATTTTTACGAGCCAGCTAAAGCGTTGAAACATTTTATCAAAAATCCAGGAAAGCAGCTTGTTGGGTTCTAAAACGTTTGACTTCCCGGGTCCTTTAAAATAGATTTTAAGCGTTTTAAAAGAACATTGAAGGCAAAAAGAGGCGTGGCCTTTATGGAGCCTGGCTTTCGGTCCCTTTAAAATCCAAACTTAGCGTTTTAAAGGGCCATTGAAGGCAAAAGGAAGCGTGGAGGCTATGGATTCCGACTTGCCGGTTCCTTTAAAAGAATATTTCATCATTTTCAGCAGATGCCCCCTCGAAAAGCGGCTCGTTCCAGCATGAGCGTTCCGGAAAGGACCGGCATGAAGCGGTTCTCGTAAATGGTAATTTTTACATTTTTTGTGCCTTTTTTGGGGCAGGCTAGCAGGGATTCTTTGAGAAAATGTGGTTTTTTAGAAGAAGACACACTCCACATCCGGGCCTACCGGACTACGGTATTCAGAACGGTACGTTTAGAGAGAATCGGATTTTTTCGCTAAACCCAAGCCTAAGCCTAAGCCTAACCTAAGCCTAAGCCTAAGCCTAAGCCTAAGCCTAAGCCTAAGCCTAAGCCTAAGCCTAAGCCTAAGCCTAAGCCTAAGCCTAAGCCTAAGCCAAGCCTAAGCCTAAGCCTAAGCCTAAGCCTAACCCAAGCCTAAGCCTAAGCCTAAGCCAAGCCTAAGCCTAAGCCTAAGCCTAAGCCTAACCCAAGCCTAAGCCTAAGCCTAAGCCTAAGCAACTTGTTTCAGATTTTCTTCTACGCCGCCTCAATTCTGACACTCGGCATTTTTCGGTTGTTGCTGCATTGGAGCAAGAAATGGTAGGAGGATCTTGCTGTCACTGTCCCTTTAAAGCTTCCCAAATGGTCTCTGCTAGTTTACCCGGGGCCAGAAAACGTTTACGCTACAAAAATCGGGTTTTAGGACCAATTACGCAATGAAATCTATTCGTAGAACCAATTACGCCATCAAAATCTGACTTCCCCGTGTCTTTAAGGCATCTCAAATAGCCTCGGCTAGCACGCCTAGGGGCCAGGAAACGATTACACCATAAAAATAGTAAAGACTAACCGATTACGCTATCAAAATCGACCGATCCATTCGATTACCCTAGGAAAATCGTTTCGTGAAAGCAATTACGCTATGGAATTTTGCCTTCACTGCTCCTTTAAAAGCTCCCAAATGGCTTCTTCTAGCTGACGCAGTGCGGAAAAATCGATTGCGCTATGAAAACAAATTTTTCGAATCGATTACGCCATCAAATTCTCACTTCACTGGCCCTTTAAAATCCTAATTTTCGCCTTTTTTCAGGTACATCTGGTTCCGGGCCATCGGCTGCACGTTCGAGGAGGCAGACCATATTTATATCGAGTACGTTTTATCGATTTTTTTAGTTTCTACGGCAGGCTAGCAGGGATTCTTTGAGAAAAATCGAATCTCGCCTAGGGCAGGCTAGCAGAGACCGTTTGGGAAGTCCCATTCTTCCAGAGACGAGCACGGCACCATCGATTTTTGCGAGATCCACAAAATGAAAAATCGTGACGGCCACGACGTGGTACTTCCGGACGGTGATGGGAATTATCGAACAGGTTGGCCACGCCCCTTTTTCTGCCTTCAATGGCCCTTTAAAACCCAGAAAACTATTTTTAAATGGGTTGCCAAGCCATAAATAGCCATAGCCACGCCCCCTTTTTGCCTTCAAGGCTCCTTTAAAACCGGAAATATTCGTTTTGAAGCGATTGAGAAGTCATAAATTCATAGCCACGCCCCTTTTTGCCTTCAATGGCCCTTTAAAACACCAAATTAGCATTTTAAGTTACCTTTCGTCGAGGGATTAGCTAACTCCCGCACCGATAAACCCCTAAAACCGTTGAAACAAAAAATTCTTATCAAAAATCAAAAAATATGGGGTTAAGCTCCGCCCCTTTTTGCCTTCAAGGGTCCTTTAAAATCGCTTTTCAAATCCACTTTTCAGCGCATCGCCCTCGATTTTTCACGTACAGGAAGGTGGCTTTTGTGTGGTTCGCCGACCGGGAGGAGTTTTTGCCGATTTCCGAACTGGATTCCAGGGTACGGTGCCTTTAATGGTCCTTTAAAATATCCCTAACGATCTCTGCTATCCTGCCCTCTTTTATACGTTAATTTCATGGCGTAATTGATTAAAACTGTCCTAAAGCTCCTCTGCTAGCTAGCCCGATTTTCTAATCGATTACGCCCCAAAATTACGCTTAGAATCTGATGACGTAAACGATTAAGCTTTCCAGAGTAGCTGCTAGCTGGTCCCAATTTTCCGTTCGATTACGACATAAAATTGCGACTATAATTTTATAGCTTAATCGGCCAAAAAAATCGATTACGCCATGGAATTTTTGCCTAATCGATTCCGCAATAATATCCAGTTTTTAGGTCCCGCTGGAGACATTCTACCAGATTCTGCACGCCGAGAAGGGGCTCAGCGATGAGGAGGTCGGTTTTTTTTGGGAAGCCCCGTCTCTTTTTTGCCTTCAATGGGCCTTTAAAAAGCGCCTTTAAACACGCGAAAAATTCTAATCTGAATTATATTCGTGACACAAAATGGGGCTCATTGTACTTTGAAATGTTTTGCGAAGCCGACGAAAATTTGAAACGTTTTTCGAAAAAAATGTATTTTTTAAAATATAAATAGATTAATAAGCAATTTTAAAGGCGCTGGGACACCCCGGAAATAAATCCCCTTTTTTGCCTTCAATGGGCCTTTAAAAAGCGCCTTTAAACACGCGAAAAATTCTAATCTGAATTATATTCGTGACACAAAATGGGGCTCATTGTACTTTGAAATGTTTTGCGAAGCCGACGAAAATTTGAAACGTTTTTCGAAAAAAATGTATTTTTTAAAATATAAATAGATTAATAAGCAATTTTAAAGGCGCTGGGACACCCCGGAAATAAATCCCCTTTTTTGCCTTCAATGGGCCTTTAAAAACCGAAATTTGGAACCATGACCGAATTATATTAGTGACGCGGACTACCCACGGCCCATTATACTTTTCGATTGCTCCTGAACTCCACGAAAATTTGAAACATTTTTTCGAAAATAAAATTTTATTTTCAAAATCGAAATTTTTTGTAACCTGTGCTATTTAAATTCTTCGCAATTTTAAAAGCACTCGGGCATTGGAAAACAAAGCCACGCCCCTTTTGACGGGAATTTAAATTGCGAAAAATAAGCCTTTCAAGAATCAATTATATTTTTCCATACTTTCCTAACCCAGCAAAATCTTGAAGCATTTTTTCACATAGATTGGCCTGGAAATTTAGCAAATTTTTTGGGCATCGTAATTTTAAAGGCGCTGGGACACCTCGGACATAAGGCACCTTTTTTGCCTTCAATGGTCCTTTAAAAGCCGAAATTGTAAGCTGGAAGCTTATAATCGAATTGTGTTAGTGCCACACTTTCACCGTCCCGAATTGTACTTTCCGATTGCTCCTGAACTCAACGAAAACCTGAAACATTTTTCAATCAGTGGGTTGGAAATGTAATTTTAAAAGCGCTGGGACACTTTGGAAATAAAGCCCCTTTGTTGCCTTCGATGGCCCTTTAAAAAATCGAAACGCCAAAAAGTAAAATCGGAATTATATTTGTGACACAAAATGATACTCATTGTACTTTTCGATTGTTCCTGAACTGCACGGAAATTTGAAACATTTTTTCCGAATATAAAAATTTTGACTTTTCAAAACATGAATTTTAGCAGCCATCGCTGTTGTAAAATTCTTCGCAATTTTAAAGGCGCTCGGACGCCTAGAGCAGAAAGCCACGCCTCTTTTTGAAGGCCGTTTAAATTCGGAATAATTGTGCCAAGCCTCCGATAAAAAAATTGTATTTTTCCAAATTCACCCACACTTAGTAAAAATTTGAAACATTTTTCGAAAACTGAAATTTTAAAATTTACTGGTTTAATTGGAATTTTGAAGAGTTTGGGACACCTCGGGACATAGAGCTCCGCCCTTTTTTGAAGGCCATTGAAAATTAGGAATATACAAGAAAAAATTATATCTTCCAAACTCAACCTCACTTAGTAAAAATTTGAAACATTTTTTTAATTTTTCAACTAAATTTATTGGTTTTTCGAGAACCGTAATTTAATTAAAGAAGTTGGGACATCTAGAAAATCAAGCCACGCCCCCTTCCTTGAAGGCCATCAAAAACCGAAGAAATGTTGCTTGGCTAGCTGCAAAAAACACATTATATTTTTTGCAAGCACTGCCAAACGAAAAACTTTTGCAACATATTTTTTCAGAAAACTGAAATTTTATTTTACCACCCACTTGGTGGCAGATTTTGTTGTTTTAAATTCGTTGTGATTTCAAAAGTTGCCTGTTGATGGCCATTTAAAATGCGGAATATTTGTGCCAATCCGGTGCATGAATGAATTATTTTTTCCAAATTCATCCCCACTTGGTCAACTTTTGAAACATTTTTTCCGAAAATATCAAAAGTTTTAGTTTTCAAAACTAAAATTTGTTTCCATTAATTTTTAGTGAAATGTTGGCCGGCCTCGCTTATTTTAAATGGTGTGGGACACCCGGGAAATGAGGCCACGCCCCCTCTTTTGAAGGCCATTTAAACTTCCAGAAAATTCTTGATGTTGCGTTTGCATTCATTAGATTTTTGCAGAACCAGCCAAACCGCCAAAAAAGTTGAAACACATTTTCTAAATCGGAATGTTTAAATGATTCCATTTTGCTGCCGTCGGGTTTTCACAGGAATTGCATTTTTTAATTTTTCGCAAAATCCACTAACTACATGAAACATATTTTTCTAAACAATTTCAAAGGCTAGAAGCATCATTTTACGTGGGAGCACGAGATTGAGCACGAGAACGAGTAGGGTATTTCGGGTGTCCCAGTCCCTTTAAAATGATAGGTTTCGGTTTTTCAATTTTGGAAAGTAGAAAGTCGCTGGGATATTGAAATTGTTGAATTTAAAAATTTGCTTACCCCCTAAAAACCTGAAACATATTTTTCTAACAAAAATGTAATGGCTAGAAGCTTCATTTTACGTGGGCGCACGAGATTGAGCACGATAACGAGTCGGCCCATTTTGCGTGCCCCAGTTTAGAAGTCAAATAAAAATTTTCAGCGTTTGAAAGGAATATTGAAACCAAAAAGGGGTGTGGCTTTGTGGATTCTGCACTTGCCGATTCCGTTAAAATCAAAATTTCTGCGTTTTAAATTGGTTCAAAAACCCGCCAGCCCAGAAAAAAATTTGAACAATTGTTTTTCAAAAAGGAAATTTTTGATTTTGTGACTTTATAAAATCCTTAGCGGATTCTGCTGGAATCGCCTTTTTAAATGGGCTGGGCCACCTAGGAAACCAAGCCACGCCGCCTATTAAAAAGGGTCATTTAAAACTTTTTGTAATAATTAACAAGAAGTTATTATATTTTTCGGAAATTTACCCATCCCGTAGAAACTTGAATCAGATTTTTGGAACAAAAGTCAATGGTTTGATTTTACGTTGAAGCACGAGCATGAGCACGAGAACGAGCCCTGCTCATTACGGGTGTCCCACTCCCTTTAAAATGGCTAGGTTTCGATTTGTTCAATTTTGAAAAGTAACAAACTTGTGCGCCGAGAAGATTGTACCATTTCAAAATTTTGGTGCCCCGCCAAAACGTGAAACATATTTTTATAACAAAATTTAATGGCTCGGAGCTGGATTTTAAGGGGAGTAGGAAATGAGGACGAGAATGAGCCGGCCATTTCGGGTGTTCGAGTCCCTTTAAAACGACAACGTTCCGATTTTTTCAAATTTCAGAAAATCGGAGATGCCGATTGGAAATTGTAGAATTGCAAAATTCTGAGACCCAGCGAAAATTTGAAACATATTTTTCTAAAAAAACTTTGAAATTCGGAAATCAACAATTTTTAGGTCTCCCAGCGCCAGGCCGTCTACGGCAAAAACCTGATCGAGGTGGTGCTCCGCTCCATCCTCGTGCTCCTCTTCTGCGAGGCCATCAGCCCGTTCTACATTTTTCAAGTGTTCAGGTACAACCGATTACGCTATGTAAATCGCCTTCCTCAATCGATTACGCTATGAAACTCACGATGTCTATTCGTATATTATGCTATCAAAATCATCCTAGAAAATCGATTACGGCCTGAAAATACGTCACAATACAATCGATTACGCTATGAAAAACCGATTACACCATAAAATTCGTGATTTAGCGTGGGGATCTGGTACTCGGACGAGTACCAAATCTACGCGTCCATCATCGTGCTAATGTCGTTGACGTCGATCAGTCTTGATGTGATACAGGTAAAATTTTGCCCTCAGGAAATGGGTCGAGGGTTCGACCCCCGGAGATTGGCAGAGATTGTTGCTTTTTGCTTTTTGGAAACTTTCACTGAAAAATGGCTAACTGCCAGCCAGAAAAGTGGTTGCTAAAATGTCAAAACGTTTGGACGGGTGGTTCTAGCAGATCTGGGGGTCACGGGTTCGAACCCCGGCCGCAGCAGGGCTTTTTTGCTTCTTGCTTTTTGGGAAGCATTGATGAGAGTTTCTTAATTGGTAGGCAGAAAAGCGAGTGCTAACCTTTCGAAGCATTCGGAGGCGCGATTCTCGAGAAATCGGACTCGCGGGTTCGACCCCCGGCCGCGGCAACTCCGTTTTGCTTTTTACTTTTTCAACACTTTTTCACTCCGATTTATAGACGCGGAAACAGGAGACAAAGCTTCGATCGATGGTGCACTCCAGCGGACCTGTGAGTTAATTCCCGATCTGTCGAGACCTAGTCGAGGGAGGGGGTCGATTTTAGCGCTTTCTAGGCTCTTTAAATTGCTATTTTTTAGGTGGATGTCGTCCGAAATGGTGGCCAAGTCACGCAGCTTGACAGCTCGCAGGTAACCTTTTTTAGAAAAATTTTTCGAATTTTTTGGCGTCATTTGGAGTCTCGCGTAGTTGTCGAGACCTAGTGGACCGGAGGGTCGATTTTCGCACTTGCCAACACCTTTAAAATTCTAGCTGGTCCCCGGCGATACGATTCTCGTGCCCCAACACGGCGGAATGATGCATTGCGACGCGGTGTTGATGACCGGAACCGTCATCATCAACGAGTCGATGCTGACTGGGGAGAGCGTTCCCGTCACCAAGGTAAGCTTGAAGTGATTGTAGTTTGTAGTCTGGCTGCCAGTTTAGCCATTCCCATCGAAAAATACACTCCATTTCAAAAAAGCAAAAAGTTGGCCGCAGCCGGGACTCGAACCCGGGGGTTGGCCTAGAAGTTTTTTGTTTTGTAGCCTGCAGCCTTGATTTTGGTTGTAGTCTGTAGTCTGGCTGCCAGCTAAGCGAGTCCTACAGTTTCAATGTTTTTTTCAGGTCGCGCTCACCACCAGCGACGATCACCAGCCAGAGGATACGGTGGCCAGATTCGATTTTTCTCGCCACTCGAAGCATGTGTTGTACTGTGGAACGCAGGTCTGTTTCTGGGGATTTTTGCCTTCAACGTCCCTTTAAAATGCCGAAAACCAATTTTTAATTGATTTTAAAGGGCCCGGGAAGCCAGAAAAAAATCAAGCCAAGCTAGCAGAGACCATTTAGGTGCTGCAAACTCGGTATTATGGTGGAAAGCCGGTCCGCGCCATCGTTCTCCGCACCGCTTACTCCACTACGAAAGGGCAGCTGATGAGGTACGGTAGTTTGTAGCTTATAGTTTGTAGTTTGCGTACGTATTTTGTAGTTTTTCGTATTTTAATTTTTGTAGCTCTGGGTTAAATTTAGGGATTTTTTGGCGATATCCTGATCAAAGGCGAATTAATTGGCTCGATTTCTCGCGATCCGCGAAATTTTGTGAAACATTTGAATGTAAAAAATTATTTTGATAATAGTATTGATTAAAATATAAGATTTTCCGAAGAAGAAGATTCGATTTTGTAGTTTGTATTTTGCGTACTTTTTAAGGTGTTTTAATTATTGTAGCCCTGCGTTAAATTTGGGGATTTATTTGCCAAATCAAAGGGGAATTAGCTTTTCCAATTTTTCTGGATTAATGGAATTTTATGAAACATCAGTAGTTTAAAAATGATTCATAATATTAATAATGAAAATATAAGATTTTAATAATATTAATTTCAATTAATAAGAAGCAAAAAATAAAAACGTACGTACATTTACGTTCAACAATACGTACTAAATGAGAACATTTTATGAAACATTTGGATTTGGGATTCGTCATTTTCTGTTTTTTTTTGCATTAGGCAAAACAAGACGAAATTAACTTGTGAAATTTTCTTTTTATGGATTTATGCGTCAAATCACATTTAAACGAAGCTTGTTGGTTTACAAAAATATACATAATTTAAAAATAGTTTAAATGTTATTTTTCAGATCCGTGATGTATCCGAAACCGGTCGACTTTCAATTTACCAAGGATTTGTTCAAGGTAATTTTTGAAAAGATTTGAATACCTATCGTAATCGATTCAAAAATATTTTTTTTTAGTTTATCCTTTTCCTCTGCCTAATTGTAAAAAATCACGCGAATTTTTATATAATTTTGCAATCCTATTTTATTAAAAATTTTTCGAAATGTAAAAAATTACATTTTTTTGTGAGACCAATTTTTCCATTTTTGCCCGCTACCGTAATCAAAATTATTTTAGTTTAAAAATATTAAAGATTTTGTGCTTTTTTAAATTTCAAATTTAATTATTTCAAATTAAAAATCGAAAATGCGAATTTTTATTTTTTTTGCACTTTTCTAAATTTTTTATAGTTTATCGGCTTCCTGGTCTCGATCGCCTGCGTGGGCTTTGCTTATACTGTAGGAGTGATGGTCTCCAGAGGGCAGGGTATCTTCAAAATCATCGTCCGCGCCTCGGACCTGATCACCATTGTCGTCCCGCCAGCGCTTCCAGGTATGAAAATATCGATTTTTTTTTAGTGTTTTTTCCGCAAATGGTCTCTGCTAGCCTGCCCACTAGCTAAACTGGGAGGCAGACTATCGATTGGCACCTTAAAAATTTTTGAGGGCAAGCTAGCAGAGACCATTTAACTGGGACACCCGCTTTTTGAGCAAAGAATCGCTGCTAGCTCGCCGGGCCTTCCTAAAATTTTACTGCAAGCATGTCCAATATTCGAACTGGCAGCCAGTTTATCGATTGATACCTTTTAAAAAGTCTGGGCAGGCTAGCAGAGACCATTTGCCCCGGATTAGCTGAGTTGGGCACAAAGAATCGCTGCTAGTTCGCCCGGCCTTCTTCAAATTTCTCTGCTAGACTGCTCAATATCCAAACCGACAGCCAGTTTATCGATTGTCATCCCGAAAATCTGTGGGTGCAAGCTAGCAGAGATTATTGTTCATCAAACACGAAAAGCCATTATATTTCCCATTTGTTCAGAATTCCCCCAGAAATTTGAAACACATCACAACCTAAAAATTCATTTTTCAACGAATCTCCGTTTTTTTGCCTCATGTTAAGGGGGGGGGGGCGATAGCGAGGCCACGCCCCTTTTCTGGGTGTCGCGTCCCCTTTAAAATCGGGCGTGGCATGCTAGCAGAGACGATTTGGGGATAAGCGACGCGAGATTGGAATTATCTCACGCTTTTCTTCTGGATTCACCCAAAAATTTGAAACATAAAAATTCAGATCGAATTTTATTTGATTCCTAAAGAAACTCTGCTTGTGTGCCCCAATCCCTAATGCTCTCTGCTAGTCTGCCGCGATTCTGGGTGTCGCTCTCCCTTTAAAATCAGGGCGGTTAACCAGCCGAGATTATTTGGGAGCCAACATCTGGAGACTGGACATTCTATTTCATTTTTCTACTTCCCTTCCTCAAAAATTTGAAACATATAAAAATTAAAACCTGATCTCTCAAAAAAGCTCGGCTTCCTCAAAATTCTCTGCTCGCTTACCTTTTTGTCCGGCTGCCACGCTATTTTAACATCAGCCTGGCTAGCTAGCAGAGATCATTTCGATAACAAAGTCCGACCATTAAACTCACCTTCTCTTCCGAAGCCGCCCAAAAATTTGAAACAAAAATAATCAAAAAATTCAGTTTTTCCCAAAGCCTCTCTGCTTGTTCGGCCCATTTAAAGGGATGGTGCCAGCTAGACCACGGCCTTTTTCTGGTGTTCCGCTTTCTTTAAAATCAGGGTGGGCAAGCTAGCAGTGATCATTTGGGATCGGAAAACGACGATCATCATTAAATCCGGCCTTTCTTGCCAATTTACCGAAAAATTTGAAACATGAAAAACTAAAAGTTCAATTTATTGCTCAAAGGAATCTTTGATCTAGGTGTCACGCTCCCTTTAAAAACCGGACGGGGCAAACTAGCAGAGATCATTTGGGTTCAAAGTATCAAGACGCGGGATTACATCCGCCTTTTCTACCGAACTCACCGAAAAACCTGGAACATGAAAACATTAAAAAAACAATTGTTCCCAAAGAATCTCTGCTAGCCTGCCACATTCCGCAATGACCTCTGCTAGCCGGCATTTTTCTAGGTGGAAACCTCCCTTTAAAATCGGGGTTGGCAAGCTAGCAGAGATCATTTGGCAATTACCACAGAAGACCTATTAACCCCCCGCTTTTCTTCTGGATTGCCCCAAAACTATGAAACATCGCTAAAAACGAAAAAATTTGGTTTCCCAAAAGAGTCTCTGCTCGCTGCCCCCTTTTAAAGGGATGGTGACAGCTAGGCCACGCGCATTTTCCAGCTGTCGCGCCCCCTTTAAACGAGATTTTTAACTTAAAAGAACGAAAAAAAAGAACGGGGCAAGCTAGCGGAGATCATTTGTAATCGAAAGAACGAAGCCGCACACATTAAATCTCATTTTACTCCTGAATTCACCCAAAAATGTGAAACATCAAAAATTTAAAAAATCGTTTTCCCAAGGAATCTCTGCTAGTCAGCCCCATTCCGCAACGGTCCCTGCTAGCCTGCCTTTTTTCTACAGCTGTCAAGCTCCCTTTAAAATCCATCCGGGCAAACTAGAAGAAATAATTTCGGAATCTTATTTTGTTTCAGAATTCACTCAAAATATGAAACATAAAAACTAAAAAAAACTAAAAACTCGATTTCCTAAAGAATCTCTGCTAGCCTTCTCCTTTTTAAAGGGATAATGACAGCTAAGCCCCGCCCCTTTTCCGGCTGTCGCTCTGCCTCTAAAATTAGAAGCTCACTTTTAAAGGAATACGAGCCGAAAATTTAGAATTAAAGCCACTGCGAGCGAGAAATTGAATCCTCCATTTCTTCTAAATTTACCAAAAAAATTGAAACATCGCAAAAGACTCGAAAAATTTGTTTTCTCAAAGAATCTCCACTATCTTGTCCCATTTTAAAGGGTTCAAGACAGCTAGATCACGCCCCTTTTCTGGTGTTCCTTTCCCTTTAAAATCAGCGCGGTAGGGCGAAGAATTAATTTTCCAGTAAGCCGGGGCTACATTATTTCCCATTGTTCTTCAAATTCCCTCAAAAATGTGAAACATCAAAAATTTAAAAAATCGTTTTCCCAAAGAATCGCTGCTAGTCTGCCCCATTCCGCAATGGCCTCTGCCAGCCGGCACTTTCCTAGCTGTCACGCTCCCTTTAAAATCGGGCTGGGCAAGCGAGCAGAGACCATTTGGGATCGAAACTAACTACAAGCCATTAAATCTTCCATTTCTTCGAAGTTTGCCAAAAAAAATTGAAACATCGCTAAAGACTCAAAAAATTTGATGTTTCAAAGAATCTCTGCTAGCCTACCGGATTTTAATGGGTTCAAGACAGCTAGGTCGCGCTTTTGCTGGGTGTCACGCTCCCTTTAAAATCAGGGTGGTTCACTAGCAGAGACAACTAACCAATGAAGACATGGTATTAAACCCCATTTTTCTTCCGAATTCACCCAAAATCTCGAAACATAGAAAAAAATCCGAAAAAAGTTATTTCTTTCCAAAGAATCTCGGCCAGCTTGCCAAGCTATTTTAAAGGGATCTGGACGGCTAGGCGAAGTCCTTTTAGGGGAGCCCTCCAATTAAAATCAAGGTGGGGCCAGCTAGCAGAGATCATTTGATCACATACGCATGCACGCATCGGAGATTATAACACCCATTTCTTGCGAATTCACCCAAAAATTTGAAACACACAATAAACTAAAAAATTACCTGAATTAATTTATTGCTTTCCCGAAGAATCTCTGCTACTCCGCCCCCTCTTCCTCAAATTTCTCTGCTAGCCTGCCCGTTTTTCTAGCTGTCACGCGCTTTCCATAGCGTAATCGGTTGAGTCTGGACAAGCTAGCCGAGATAATTGGGGAAAATCCTATGGATTTTTTGAAGTTTTAAAGGGAGAGTGACACCTAGAAAAGGGCCAGCTGGCAGGGATTCTTTGAGAAATTTCCCTTTTTCAGCGGCAATCACCCTCGTCTACGCGAATGCCCAGATTCGGCTGAAGCGGAAGGATATTTTCTGCATCTCCCCGTCGACGATTCCGATGTGCGGATCGATAAATACGGTAGCAAAACTTTAATCGCGGTCGCTGGAAACTAGTACATAAAATAAAAATTTTGAAATTCAAAAATTTTTGAAACCCATTTTTTGTAACAGAAATGCTATAATTAAGATTAAGTAAATTAAGGTTTCTTAAACTATTATTATTGTAGGAAATATCGTATCCACAACGAACGTGTAATTAACAAAACAAATTGAGATTTGAATTTTGAAATTTTTGAAACAAGTTTTTTTAGTGAAAAATCCTTAATTTTGCATTTTAAAAACCTTTAAAAGATTAAAAATGAAAATCTGGCTTTAAAAAAGGATAACCTAAATTCAATAAATCACTACATTTATCGAATTTTTATTATTGTATGCAAATTAAAGGAAAATCCGCCTGACAATTATTAAAACAATTCAATTTTGGCATTGTAAAATTTTTGAAACAAACTTTATTTAGTGAATCACAAGCTTTATAAAATCTAGCGACACAAAATTTATGAGTTTGTGAAAAAATTAAATTTCTATTAATGAAAGAAATATAGGATCAGCACGACCAAGAAATAGCTACGTTCTAAAAATTCAGTGTATTGAAAGGATTCGAAACAATTTTTTTTATGGTTAAATTTTAGCTGTCCAAGTTGTTAAAAATCACAAAAATGTTTTTAATCAAGATAAATGCACTATTAAAATTCATAAAAGAAGAAAATGGCTATTTTGAAGGTTTTAAATGAATCAAATAAATTGATTTCTAATTGAATTAAAATTTAGTTGAATTAATAAATTGAACTAGATTCCTAAAATTAACGTTTTAAGCTAAACTCTAATAAAATTTGGAGCAGAACTGCACATATTGCCAGAAATTCTCGCGATTTGGGTACCAGATTTTTCGAAACATGTTTCAGACATTTTCAATCATCGCGAAAAATTACGATGCTTAATCTTGGCATTTTTTGACTTGTTCGACATTTTGATAAGCATTAATTTCGAGTAATAGCATCTAAATTTGATTTATTGATCTATTAAAATTAATAAAGACAAAAAGCCACATTACCGTTTGCATTACTGTAAGGAAGACGCTCGGCCATACATTAACAAAATAAACTAAGATTCTAAATTGTTAAAATTTTTGAAACAAATTTTTTAAATCAAGTACCTGTAAAATGAAATGAATTGCTGTAAATGAATTACAATAAAATAAGGGTTAAATCTGTATTCTTTTCAAAAACAACCGGAATTAAAATTAATTTATCGTAAAGCGAAAAATGGTAATTTTGATTTTTCTCGGTATGTTTTAAATTTAACTCCCAAAAACTACGATAACGCTAATTTAAATTCGCTAAAAAATTATAAACATCTTCGAAGCAATCCAACATTAAGAAAAAATTCGCCTTTTTGACTACCAGATTTTTTGAAACATGCTTCATAAATCTCCAAAGATTTTTAAAAATCTTGTGAATCACTTTATCAACGATTTAAATGCAGCCTACATTTTTTAATAGAATAAAAATTTAATTCATTTTGCAATTAAGATTAATAAAATCTATTCCGAATAAAAATCCAAATTTCAGGTGTGCTTCGACAAAACGGGTACCCTCACCGAAGACGGTCTCGATTTCCACACCATGCGCGCCGTGAAGCCGGCGGTTACGGTAGGCAATTTGTGATTAGAATTTGCTAATTATATAACTAATTATACTTATAAATATGAAAGATATAATAATAAAACAAAATCAAAGAGGAATTTTTGAAAAATTAAAATGTGTCAAAAACTATTTAAAATCCGGAATTAGAATAACAAGCCAATTCGAGAAAGGAGCTATGCGCAACATCAACTAAAATATTATTTTACAAATTAACAAATAAATAACGCAAAATATGGAAATATATAACAAAGATCTTGAAATAACAGATTTAATATTGAAAAGTGCAGTAAAGCGTAGTTTGTTCAAAGAAAAATTTTCCCAAAAATCAGCCTAAAAATCATATTTCATCAGATCCCACAAAAAATGTTTCAACATTTTTATAAAACTATAAGATCTTCTGAATTTCGCGATTTTGGATCGATTTGGAACCCTTCACATTCATCAGCTTTTGTTAATAATAATAATAATTAGGCGTTGAAAACCGTATTAGAATCATGTTCAAAAAACCAGTCAAAAAATGTTTTAAAATTTGTGAAAAACCAATTTCTATGCGTGCGGTTTTTTATATTTAATTTATGTACTTAAGACGTCAACTGACGTAAATTTTAAAAAATTAAATTAACGATGAAAATTATTGAATAAATAATAGCGCATTTCCAGAACGCCGCATCTCATTTTGGGGCTGAAACATCGAAAATGCTGCCAAGGGAGCTGCCGAGGGATGGCGAAATCATAAAAGCTGTCGCCACCTGCCATTCATTAACCAGGTAATTTTGTCTAAAATTAAATTAATTTTAGTAGAATTTAAATAATAGTAAAGACGTTATTAAAAATAGCAAGAGTTTTCAACAATTTTTTAAAATTTAAAGTTTAAAAACTTTTAGAAACTTTAAAACTTTATCCAAAACTTTGAATTTCATTTAACTTTGATTTGCATCGCGGAAACTGTCTCTAAATCTCAAGCTAATCGTATTAAAATCATTAAAGTGAAAATTACATTTAAAATAAATAGATTTTAAATAGAATTAAAATTTCCGAATTGCAAGACAATGTTTCAAAAAGTTATCTAGCAAAATGGGGTTTGTTTCTGATAATAAAATGCCACGCTCCTCGCAATTTCCATCTTCTCCCTCCCTTTTCAGAGGCTTGGGCATAACCGATTACGCCAGTTATTTAGCTATCGTTTTTTAGTCAGAATTAATGGAGTTTTAATCGAATCGTCTTCGGATACCTTTACCAGTATCGAGTTTTAAACTTTAATCGTCTTAAGCTTTAATTTCGCATATTGCTCCTTTGACAATTTTTTTCCTTTAAAATTTCAGGTTTCACCGGTTACGCTAGGTATTTAAATATCGAGTATTTTTCAAGAAGTATTGGGGTTTTCCAAATTTTTTTTTGTAGAAATTGAAAAATAATGGTTCAAAAAATTACCTAGCAAGAAAAGGTTTTTAACTTTTAATCGCATCCTTCGACATTGATATTTTCACAATTTTTCGCTTTTTAAAACCCGGGTTTAACCTATTACGCCAGGCAATTAATTATCGATTGTTTTTCAGAATTAACGGAGTTCTCCACGGCGATCCCCTCGACCTGATCCTCTTCAACCAAAGCCGATGGACAATTGATGAAAACTGCGGCTCGGAAAGGTCAGTAATTTCCCAAATTTTCGCAAAGGGTTCTGCTAGCCTGCCCATTTGCTAAACTGTCTGCCAGTTTAGCGATTCGCAGCTTAAAAATCTCCCTGGGCAAGCTAGCAGAGCCCATTTGCCGACGTGCCGGGTTTTGGGGCAAAGCATCACTGCTAGCTCACCTCGGAAATCTCACATTGTCTCTGCTAGCTTGCGAGTAGTCAAGCTGGCAGCCAGTTTATCGATTCCCACTTCCTCAATGGCTTCGGCTAGCTTGCCTGGCGCAAAATTCCTCAGGAACCCCTGCTAGCCTGCCCGCCACCGTAAACACAATTTTTTAAATCTATTTGCAGCAATTCTTTTACGAATCCAGCTTTTGAGAGGGACGAGTAAGTTTCAAGGCGAAACAACCCATAATTAACATATTTTTATTTTTCTGAGTTTTGCAAATTTTTAAAACATTTTTCTTTATTTACATTTCGTTCTTTGCTAGGTTTAGTTTGCCGCTGCTTTCTTTTTTGCTTTTTCGAACCGCTCCAATTTACACCCCTTATTTTCCTTGCGTATTCAATTAAACCCCCTAAATTTCATGACGTAATCGGTTGTATTTGCTGAATTATTTTCTGGACCAAAATGGATCAAGATTAACAATTTTGGAACCGAAGCAAATTAGGAAATTTTTGAAACATTTCTGAAGAGAATATTTAATTCTTGCCTTTTCTTTGGTAATCTATTAAACCCCGATTTCCGGCAAAGTTTCTCTGCTGGCCTGCCCCCTGCCGTACAGCATTTTTTTGGTTCCTTGTCGTGCGTATTAAAATTCAAGCCCATTGGACGAAGGAAGAATTAATAACATTTTACTGCTCTGAGTTTTGTACACGCTTGAAACATTTTTAGATTTTCTTTCTTTTGGTTGAATTCTTGATATTAGTATTAGTATACTTATCACTACTCTTGAAATTACCCTCCCTTATTTTCCTGGCGTAAACAGATAAATTCCATACCGTCGTAATCGGTTATTTTGATGGTCTAATGGTCTAATGGTAATAATGATGGTTTTGATGGTTTGATGGTTATTTTTCCGATCAGGTTGTATATTGATTAGCAATTTTTAAGAAGCATTAAATTCCGAAATCTATGAAACATTTTTCGGGAACAATTATTTCCTATTTTCATGGCGTAATCGACTAAACCCCGATTTCCGGCAAAGTTTCTCTGCTAGCCTGCCCCCTACACTATTTCCAATTTTTCGATGTAGTTTTACATATTGAAGGCGAACGTGAATGCACAGCTCATTAATAACTTTTTTAGTTTTCTGAGTTTAGCGAATTTTTGAAACTTTTTTTTGTTAAAATTTTCCTTTCATTTCATTTTAGTTGTTTACGTTCCGCTACCCGCGACTTTACGCCCCCGTATTTTCCTTGCGTAATGAGTTAAATTCCCCGAATTCCATAGAGTCTTCGTTTTTTTTCAAGACTTACTGAATTATTTTCTTGATCATATTCGCACAGCGGCTAACACTTTTTCAGTCGCATTAAATTTGATGCTCTTTGAAACATGTCTTTCGAGAAAGACTAATTTTCATGTCATAATCGTTTAACCCCGATTTTCCGCAAAGCGCCCCTGCTAGCCTGCCCGCTACCTTAATCCCAATTTTTTAAAATCTAGTTCTAGCAACTCTTTCGTGAATGCAGCTTTTGAGAGGGATGAGTAAGTTCCAAGCCGAAACAAGCTATTATTAATATCGTTTTATTTTTTTGAGTTTTGCCGATTTTTGAAACATTTTTTGCTAAAAACGGCTTTTTCGCGTAATTTTTAGTTTTTTTTTTACATTCCGCTACACTTCAATTTACATTCTTTATTTTCTTGTGTAACCGGTTATATGCCGGAATTTCATACCGTAGCCGCTTTTTATAGGGACAAGCAATCCTCTACTAATTATCAATTTTTATTTTTTCGGAGTTTTGCTAATTTTCGAAACATTTTTTCTTTAAAATCACTTCTTGACCAATTTGAGTTTTGCTTATTTTAATATTTTAAATTATTTAATTTTACTGCATTTTTAAGTTGCCTAACGCCCCTGATTTTCATGGCGTAATCGATTAAACCCCCCAATTTAGAAGCGACGACGAGATCTCGCGCTTCGACACGGTCCAGCCCACCGTCGTCAAACCCCCGCCAGAGGACGTCCCGATTTTCCGGAGCTCCGATTTTGCCGTCATTAGGCAGTTCACGTTCAGGTACTGTGGATTTTTGCCTTCAATGGTCCTTTTAAACTTTTTGAAAACTTTTTAAAGGAGCTGGAAAGTCAAAATCCACATGGTCAGGAGCCTTTTTACCTTCAATGGGCCTTTAAAATCTTAGCAATCGACTTTAAAGGGGCCGGCGACCCAAGCCCATAGGCCACGCCCCTTTTTGCCTTAAGTGGTCCTTTAAAATATTCAAAATCGATTTAAGGGAAGCGGCAAGCCAAAATCCCTCAGACCACGCCCCTTTGTTGCCTTCAATGGCCATTTAAAACATGAAAAGGCGAAATTTTCGTTTTTAAGGGCGCGGCAAGTCAAATCCATTGGTCACGCCCCTTTTTGCATTCAATGGCCCTTTAAAAACCCTGAAAATTTCTTAAAGTGAAATGCAAAGTCAGAATCCGTCGAATTTTGCTTTCAATGGTCCTTTAACACCGAAACAATCTAGATTTTTCAGTTCCTCCCTGCAGCGCATGTCGGTGATCGTGAACAGCCCCGTGGAGGAGACGGGCAGGAAAATGACGCTGTATTCCAAGGTACTTTCTATTATTCGTTTTTCCTACTATCCTTTTTACGGAATTTTACAGAATCCTTTGTTGTCGGTAATCATTACCTGAAAAATCGCGGAACCTCCAATTTTCGAAAAACATTTTTTTTTACAAATTTTGAATTTTAATGCATTTTTTTATTTTCAGGGCTCCCCGGAGATGATCTTGTCTCTATGTGATAAAACGACCGTGCCCGACGACTACCTGGAAACGGTCAACAAATACGCACAACACGGATATCGATTGATTGCGGTGAGTGAGAGAGAGAGGGAGAGAGAGAGAGTGAGAGCGAGAAAGAGAGCCGGAGAGGGATATCTTCTAATCGATTACGTCGTCTAATTCCAGGTAGCCAAGCGAGACCTCGTGCTCAGTTTCGCGAAGGCCCAGAAAGTTCCTCGCCATAGCGTGGAGACGGGCCTCGAGTTGTTGGGGCTGATTGTCATGGAAAATCGACTAAAGCCCCAGTCACTTCCGGTCATCAACGAGCTCAACAGGTACTGTAACCTAAAAGCAAAATCCTTTCAGAATAAAAATGTATCAACTTTTTCGAGTTACCAAAAAAATTCGGAAAATCATTAGTGACCGCGTCTGATTTTTCTTACTTGGGCTGTTAGAAATTAGCATCCAACACAAAAGCGTCATCAATTTGATGTTAATAAACCGAGACTCGATCCCGCGAATTTTTTAGTTAATTCAAAACACCGAAAAACACGAAAGTTCCATCGTTTTCCATCGTTTTCGTTTAATTGTCAAGGTTTTTTCTAAACTTGTTATTGCCGTAAAAAGGGTGTAATTAGGGTTTAAAATGCAGATAAACTTGAAATTAAATTGAATAAAAATAATTTATGAGAAAAATCATTGTAAAAATTAAAAATTTGCTGTTTCAACTTTTGCTATTATCAAAAAATTTCGAAACATGGATTGAGGGTTTCGTTTTTGCTTGACAAATCATTTCCAAAGATGGGATTAATTCCCAAGTAAAATTTGCCAAAAATAAGGAGTACTCGGTTAAAAAATTTTTGGTTTCAACTTTTTCCAAAACCCCTGAATTTTTTAAATTGCCAATGCATCGTGGTTTTACCGGGTTTTTCACACTTCAATAGTTTTGAAAAATGCAAATGCTTCAGATTTTTTAGAAAGCAAGAATTTTTTTCGGGCAATAATGGCGATTAGGCGCTGTCTTTCAATATGCGGCAGTTTAATCCAAAAATTGCTGAATTTTATGTTTCTAATCTTCTCAATTCTGGGAATTTTTCTGAAAATGCAATTTTCCTTTCGCATCAGGGCTGCTTAAATTTTTCATGTATTAAAGCTTTATATATTTTTAATGATAGTAATGTTAATTTTGAATTAGGACGCAAAAAGGAGCCGAACGGAATCGATTAGAATTGTTAGGAAAATGAAATGTTTCAAAAATGCAGGATTTGCCGAAAAATCGATCATGGCAATTCTTCCAGCGTATTGATTGGCCCATATTTTTAAATATTGAAAATTGATTAATTTGAGTTATTATTATTATTAAGAAAAATAAATTATTTAGCTGCTAATTAGAGATGTTATTATTCAAATCAAATCTGAGGATTTGAAAGTTTCTCAAATCAAATCTGAATTTGATTTGAAAGTCCAGCCAGTTTCAAATCAAATCCAGATTTGATTTCGGCGGCATCAAATCTCAAATCTTCTTATTCAAATCAAATCGGATTTGAGTTGGATTTGATTTGAATAATAACATCTCTACTGTTAATTATTCTTTTTTAAAAATCGGACGCGAAGAAAGCAAGGAATGGAAAAATCGAAAATATGTTTTGAAGTGCTTAACATCAATTTTTATTCATTTTATAACCACTCAAAGGTTAAATTTAGGGCGAATATTCGTGCGGTGATGGTGACGGGGGACAACTTGTTGACGGCACTCAGCGTCGGCAGGGAATGCGGAATTATTCGGCCCAATCGAACGGTTAGTCGTGGCCACGCATCCTTTTGCCCTCAATGGGCCTTTAAAGCTCCGAAAAATCCATTTTAGAGGGCTCGAGAGGTCAAAATCCATGGCGCCGAGATCCGTTTGCCTTCAATGAGCCTTTAAAAGCTCGAAAACTGGTTTAAAGGACGCGGGAAGGCAAAAAGCTGTGGATTCCTGAATTCACGGGCCCTTTCAATGAATTTTCCAAGGTTTAAAGGCCCATTGAAGGCAAAAAGTGGGCGTGGCATAGCCTAGATTTTTCAGGCCTATCTCGTGGAACACCAGACCGGTCAGCTAGCCGCAGATGGACGCACTCAGCTGACATTACGACAGGTAATTCTGATTAGTTGTTCGGCAACTGGCAAAAAAATGCGTTTCAGCGGTTTACAAAACCCGAAAAATTTTTCTGAGCGGTAATCATCGAAAAATAGATTCCTGGTATTTCCAATTTCCCAGGTGCAACGACGTCAAAATCAGAAGATTTTCCGGATTACGGTGGCTAATTGAATTTGATAAATTTAGTTATATAAATTTAATTTGTTATGCAATTTTTAAGTCTTTCACTTCTCTAAACTTTATTTTGTTTGAATTTAAGTTTAAAAAATTGTGTTTCATCATTTTTCAAATTTTGCGTGCTTGAATCTTTAGTTAATCGCGGAAGATTCTCTAACTAATTTTTCAAAAATAATTAAGTTTTTACAAATATGATTTTTTAGTAGATTTAAAAAATAAATTTGATTTTCTAATTTCAAATTATGATATTAGTTTATCTATATTTTAGAAATTTCCACGTATTTAATTGTTTTTATTTTTAGAGTGTCTCCTCATTTTATGTTTTCAAAGTTTAAAAAATTATGTTTCATTATTTTTCAAAGTTTGGATGTATTATATCTTCGTTAATTAATAGTTCGTTAGTTTTATAAGTTTAAAAATAAATTTTTCAGCTAATTATTTAATTTTATTTTAATTGAAGATGCGTAATTTTTTTGATTTTTCTAGAGCGTCTCCTCCTCGGAAGACATCCTCGACGAGCAGCTCAATTCGGATCCCCTGAGCCCGGAATTGCAGGGAAATTATCAGCTTTGCATTGCCGGTGGGTTACTGTAGTTTGAAGTCTGGAGTCTGTAGTTTCCGCAAATCCTCTCTGCTAGCTTGCCAATCGCTTATCTGGCTGCCAGATTGGCGAATTTCGCTTCCTAAATGGTCTCTGCTAGCTTGCACGGTTTTTCCAATCGATTACGCTATAAAAACCGTACTATACAAGTCCTTTAAAGCTAGTAAATTTGCCAAAGAATCTCTGCTAGCTTGCCAATCGCTTATCTGGCTGCCAGATTAGCGAATTTCGCCTCCTACATGATCTCTGCTAGCCTGCCCCAAGTTTTCGAATCGATCATGCTATTCAATTTTGGATTTTCCTCAAAGCACCTCTGCTCGCCATTCCATTGCGTAATCGTTCGGGAATCCGAGGGCAGGCGCACAGAGATCATTGGGGGAAACGCAGAAACGGGATCAAAGGGATGGCGACAGCTAGGCCAGGCAGGCTAGCAGAGATTCTTCGAGAAATTTCATGCCATTTTAGCCTGCCACCCAGGCCACGCCCCATTTCCTATAGCTGTCCCGTTCCCTTTAGGCAGCTCATATAGCTGATTTTCACGTCGTAATCTATTGGAAATGGCGGGGCAGGCTAGCAGAGGCCCCTTGCGGAATTTGACGTTTTTAAAGGAACATTGAAGCTAGGATTTAGATTCGTAGTCGCTAGAAAATCCAAGAGCATTAAATAAACTGTCAACTTCGAATTCACCCGAAATTTTGAAGCATTTAAATTTAACTCTTTTTAGCTGAAAAATACAGGAAAAATCGAATTTCAGGCCCAACATTCGCCGTCATCTGCCACGAATACCCGGAATTAATGGACAATTTGATGACGGTGTAAGTTCGAGATTTTAATGTTTTTGTCAACTATGGATCAAGGATTATGAAATTGAAATCTCGGCTGTGGCGATAAAAACATAAAACATTTTTTTGTAATTGTTTATCATTGCCTTTTAGTATATTTTTTTTTGCTATTTTTTGCCAGTAAATACTTCAACTTCAAATAGGATTGACAATCAGGAGATCCGATTGAATTTGCTGCGAAATGAAACAGATTTCTTTAACTGTAAAAAATGAATTAAAAATCAACTTTTTTTGATTTTCTACAAACATTCTATTTTTTTGTAATTTTTCGGAAAACTCGATTTTTTAATGTCTAGTCGTGATTTTACTATGGTGATTTTGGCCTTTAATTGCTTATTTTAAGTTCTCCTGCCACGCATTTTCACCGCTTCAGCTGATTACAAACCAGAAAAATAATTCGAATTTAGTAGAAGCTGAAACGTATTTTTTTAATTTAATGCGGAGCTAGGGGTTTTTACTTACTTGCCCCTTTAAAATTAAAATTTCCGGCTTTTAAAGGGCCATTGAAGGCAAAAAGTGGGCGTGGCTTCGTGGATCCTGGCTTGCTCACTTATTTAAAATGAATTCTATCATTTTAAAGGCCCATTGAAGGCACAAATCCATAGATATCCTTTTCAGTTGTGACGTGTTCGCCCGAATGTCTCCGGATCAGAAACAATTCCTCGTCAACCACCTCCAAACACTCGATTATATCGTGGCAATGTGCGGGGATGGAGCCAATGATTGTGCGGCTTTAAAGGTATAAAAATCTGGATTAAAAATAGAAAATGTGTATTGAATTAGCTAATTAAAGTAGCAAATTTGTCGGATGGGAATTAAAAATTGCCATAAATTTTAATTTTAAAATTTTTTTGAAACTTTGTTTTTTAACGCTTTGGAAAATGTGGTATCGTTAAATCTATTAACCATGATTTTTTAAAAATGTTTGAAACTTGATTTTTCTAAATTTTTAAGACTTGAGCTAAATCATTGAAAGTTTTGTAAGAATTTTGTAAGAATAGGATGTTAAAATAATTTTTGCAATTTTTAAATTATTAAATAAATTAATTAAAAACGTAGATCACATATCAAAAACTATTTTTATATAGATAATTGAATAATGAATCGTTAGAAGCTACCGTTAATTAATTGATTTTAAATTTTTTGGGTGTTAGGCTTTTTCGAAACTTTATTTTTTAAATCCAAACGGCTACAAGATAGTCAGATATCGATAAAAAACGAGATGGTATTATGTGGTATTATGATAGACGATATGGATAAATACTAAAAAATTAAAAAATTTTCCTTTTTTAGAAATTTATGAAACATGATTTTTAAAACTCGCGGCGGGCCATAGGATATTTTTCGAAGGATTTCTAGTAATTGCCCTCACGAAAATTAAATCAACCATAATTTTTCGGTTTTTAAAGTTTTTTGAAACATTATTTTTCTAGGCAGCCCACGCGGGGATTTCGCTTTCCGATGCCGAGGCTTCGATTGCGGCACCATTTACATCAAAGGTACGTATGTTCTTGTACGCTAGAGTACGCTAGAGTACGCTAGGATACGCTAAGGTACGCTGGAGTACGTTACAATACGCCAAAAGTACGCTAAACGTAGGCTAGAGTACGCCACCGTACGCGCGATTGCGTATCTGTACGCCGTGCATGAGAGAGCGCAAAATTACGCCTGCTTATGCTCTGTGCGCAAGTGTACGCGAGAGTACGCGAGCCTACGTATCCGTACGCTATGTAACGATCATAATTCGCTACAGTACGCTACAGTACGTTCCAATATACCAAAAGTACGCGAGAAAATCAGCTGCTAATTCCGGGAACAATTAGTAAACTTTTCAAAAAAAATGTGTTTCACCGAAAAATTAGCTAAAAATCGGCTGCGCTACGGTATTGCATACTTGTTTGTTGTTGAAACTTTCTCGCTTTAACATATTTTTTGCGATTTACGCTACAGTACGCCACCGTACCCCAGGGTACGCATCTGTACGTTAGACTACACGAGAGTACGCTACAGTACGCCAGAGTACGAGACAGTACACCAAAACACGCTAGAGTACGCTAGAGTACCTTACAGTACCCAAGCGTGCCTCTGTACGCTAGACAACATGAAAGTACGTTAATTGGCGCTACAGTACGCGAAAGTACGCTACAATACTTCAGCGTACGCATCTATACGCTAGACAACACGATAGTACGTTAAGTTACGATACAGTACCCCAAAGTACGCTACAATACGCCAAAGTACGATACAGTACGCTACAGTACTATTTCTGCCTTTCAGATCCCCGACATTCGCTGCGTGCCAATCATCATCCGAGAGGGGCGGGCCGCTCTCGTCACCGCCTTTGCCATTTTCAAATACATGGCCGGCTACTCGCTCACACAGGTTTGTCATTTTAAAGGGATTGGCAAGTCATTTTTCAGTTCGTCACCATCCTCCAATTATACTGGATCGGCACAAATCTGACAGACGGCCAATTCCTGTTCATCGACCTCTTCATCATCACCGTCAACGCGCTGTTTTTCGGAGCAGCGGAAGCTTGTGGGTTTACAAACAACAATTTCGAAAAATTTGGCATGGCGGAGTGGTTAGTGGCGGCGCCTACCAATCTGAAGACCCGGGTTCGACTCCCGGTCGCGGCAAACTTTTTGCCTTTTGCTTCAAACTTTAGAATCGCTTAACTGGCAGCCAAGCAACATCCTACAGCTTTTAAAATCGTGATTTAAACCGATTACGCGACGTTATTAGGCCAGGGTTCGACTCCCGGCCACGACCAACTTTTTGCTTTTTGCTTTAAAGCGAGACCGAATCGATGCCGCCATGAAATGCCAATTTTCAGACGACACCCTGTGCAGCAAGCCACCGCCTCGTCGCCTTTTATCGCCAGCCTCGATGGTGTCGGTGCTCGGCCAACTTACAATCATGCTAACAACCCAGGTGAGCTAGCAGAGAGAATTTAGCATTTGGGAATCGACTAACTGGCTGCCAGTTTAAATATTCGGCGGGCTAGCGAAGGCCATTTGAGCCTGAAAGGCAGGCTAGCAGTGAATTTTTGACCCAAAAATCGGGTGCCTTGGCAAATCTTCTCTGCTAGCTAGCCCAGGACAATTTTCGCCGCGTATTTGGATAGACTGGCTGCCAGTTTGCCGTTTGGGCAGGCTAGCAGAGGCAATTTGTGTAAATCTCATGATTTATAGCTGTTCATCTTCGTCTGGACGAGCCAGCAGACGTGGTTCATCCCCTTCGTCCCGTCCCCACCAGATGAGGAGGAGGTCAAAAGGAGCCAGCAGGTACTATAGTTTCTCTCTCTCTCTCTCTCTCTCTCTCTCTCTCTCTCTCTCTCTCTTTCTCTCATTCTCTTCCCTCTGAAAACATGCTTTTAGGGTACGGCCCTATTTGGCGTCTCGGTGTTCCAATACCTAACCCTGGTGGCAATGTATTCGAAAGGTAACGATTTATTTTATATCATTTTCAAATTAATTTTGATTCCAAAACACTACTGGGTGTCCCAAAAAAAAAAGCACCCCCCTCTAGCGGTCCAGGGGAAGCTCAGATCAGGATGATTTTTATACCATTCGAAAGCCCACGAAAAGGCGAGAAAACAAGCCGGCTTGATTTTTTAGGATTTATCCTTATTCGTGCGATATTCAACGTTTTTCTAAAAAACAGGTCGCTTTTCAATAGGAATTTCGCAATTAGCATGCAGGTTTCGCGTAAATCTGCCGTTTTCATGGTTTTTGGAGGTGAAATTAGCGAATAAAAATACATAATAAAGAAAAGGAACCCTCCTTGTTTTCTCGCCTTTTCGAGATCTTTCGATTGATACCTAAACGGTAAAAATCGGACACGACTGCGTGCCGCTAGAGGGGGGTGCTTTTTTTTTGGGACACCCTGTAATCCCAAACTTAAATTTCGATTTGCAAAATAATGTTTCAAAAAATTTCCATTTTACGAAAAATTTGCGATTTTTAATACGGTGCCTCTCATGAAGATGACAATGATTAATAAATGTTTTTGTGTGATTTAAATAGCAATTCTGATTTGAAATTTGCTTAAATTATAAATTCACTCTTAAAAGATATCAAAAATTTTCCAAAAATCATCAAAAAAAAAATCGTAAATTCGCAAAATAAATGCGTTTCAATTGTTCACAAATGCCTGCAAGGAATTTTAGTATTAATTCCAAGTAGTATGATTTCGAATGCAATTTTTCAGGCTCCGCCCACCGCAAGTCCATCTTCACCAATCGATATTTGTGCCTGACGCTGTTCGTGACGACTGCGGTAAGTGCCCCGCCCCTTTTGCCTTCAATGGTCCTTTAAAAGGTGAAAAGGCGGTTTTAAAGGACTTGGCAAGCCAGAATTGATTTCTTTGCCTCCAGGACTTCACCAGGACGCGACACGCGACGTACACGCGCTGCTTGTCCGCTCCTTTCAAGGGTGCTGCGTGGCGTGGCGTGTCGCATGCGCGTTGCGGGCCGGGTTGTGGTCGCGTTGCGTGTCATGTTCCGCGTGTGGCGTTGCGAGTCGGGGTACAACGCGCGACGCTGCGTCTCGCGTTGCGTGCCGCGTTGCGTTCGCGTCGCGTTGCGTGTCGCGTTGCGCGTATTTCGTCGGTGACGGCGCGTGCGCGTTGAGTGGCTTCTCGCGCTGCGTGCCGCGTTGTCGTATGTCGTCGCGTTTCGGGGTGCGCGTCGCGCTGCAACGTGCGACGCTGCGTCTCGCGCCGCGTGTCGCGCCACGTGTCGCGTTGCGTATGTCGTCACATCTCACGTTGCGTGCGCGTCGCGTTGAGCATATTTCGCGGATGACTGGCGTGCGCGTTGCGTTTCGCGGGAAAGTGCCTATTTCCAGGCGTCCTTCTACGTGGTGCTTTTCCCGGCCGATTGGGTGGCCGCCCTGCTCGACTACGTGAAAATACCCGATATGACGCGGGTTTTTGTCGTCCTCATCGGTGGGTTAGATTTTTCCGCAAATTGTCCCTGCTAGCCTGCCTATTAACATACTTTTACGTCAAAATTTCAGCGGCCTTCTCCTCGGTGTTGTCGTTCATCTTCAACCAGCTCGTCGTCGAGCACCTCATCGGAAATATGGGCGCCAGGTATCGCCGAATTTCATGGCGTAATCGATTAACCCCGATTTGCAGATGGCTAAAGCAACGCCGATTGAGAGATCCGAATGCCGAGACCGATAAATGGGAGCGGATTATGTGCAGGTGTGCAGGCTAGCAGGGCTTCTTTGGGAAATGGATAGAGGGCTTGTGCAAAAAGCGTTTTTTTCCTGGGTTTTTCATTTTTTGGAACATGAAATTTGCATAAATTTCGAAACGTCGACTTTTTGCGGAAAAAAACTATCGTTTCGTGGTTTTTAAGCATAATCTGTAAGGTTTTTGCGCTTAGAAATAGTAAAAAAACTTTTGTTTGCTGCTCTTGTTTTATTTATATTAGAGGAACTAGATCCTAGAAAAAATCTCCCCCCCCCCATAATACGAAAGAACTAGTTTTAAATAGATTTTAACAAACCTCCACGAAACGATTTCCAAATTGAAAAATTCAAATTTTTCCGATTGTTACACTTTCGTGAAACATGACTTTTCAATATCTCCAAAAAATATTTTTACTGAAATTACGTTTTCCTCCTCTATTTATAGTTTAAAAAATTAAACAATTAAAGTTTTTAAAATCAATGACAGGCCAAATTTTAGGCGGTTTTTGCCTTGTTTAGTTTATTTGACTTGGAAAGAATAATTATAAAAAACAAAGTCTTCCGGTTTTTTAATTTTTATGAAACATGAATTTTGCGCTTTTTCAAAATTAATTTTACTAGGAAATACCGGTTTCGATGAATTTTATAAGTATAATAAACAAAGTTTCAATGCTAAACAAAGTTAATTTAGGTTTTATGTCTAATTTCATATTTCATACTTTAAAACAAAATTCTCAAATTGTCAAGAACAAAGCTTTCCTATTTTTAAATTTTTATGAAACATGAAATTTTTAGCTTTTTAAAATGCATTTTACTAGTTATTCCCGGTTACAAGGGATTTTAAGATAATAAACTAACAATAGTTAAAATAAGTTTAATACAAAAAAAAACATTTTTTTTATTTTATAAATCAGCACTTTAATAAAAAAATAAATTGAATTTTTTGCAGAATCGGTCACGATGTCAGTTGGCTGCGGAAGAACGTCCGGCAGATTGGCGCCGACCAGGCGTCAATTAAATCCGGGGCTACGGTAGACGAGACGACGCCCGTTTAAAAACGGGGAAATTTTGATTTTTTTTAACGAGAAATTCCATTTTGAAATCTTTACCGATTTTTATAAGTTTTTGAAACACACAATTTTTGTGATTTTTTTGCCATTCACTTCCCTCGGGTCCTTGAAAAATATTGCCTTTCTCGGTGTGCCAATTTTAAATTTTCAAAATTTTACGATCGCTTAAATGATTCTAAATTTTTATATTTGTCATTTTTTATTTTTACAAAATCCTAAATTAATTTTTCGATGTTGAATCCAATTTTACAAAAATTTGTAATTGCCTATTTCAATTTTCCGAATCTAATTTGCCACTATTTATCGCCATTTTCTCGTTCGCTTCTCCATTCTCCACTTCCGGGTAATCTCCACCCCTTCACAAAATATATATGCTTTCCATTTTTATTGAATTTAATTTTCACTCATTTTTTGGTGAATAAAATTTAATTGGTCCGCAAATTGAAGTTCCTGCGTTCATCTCCGGCTGCCAGATAGCCGATTCTGAAAGTTTAGAGCAAAAAGCAAAAAATCTGTCGCGACGGGGAGTCGAACCCGGGTCGCCAGATTGACAGGCAAAGTCACTAACCACTCGGCCACCGGTTTCGGCGCCGAACTGAACTTTTCCCGAAATCCTGAACCGTTGTGTGGCCGCGATTTTCGAAGGCCCTGTAGTCTGTTCAGGAATCCTATCCCGAGTAGAGAGAGCGAAAGAGAGAGTAAGAGGAAGAGAGAGAGAGAGAGAGAGTGGGAAAGAAAGAGAGAGAGAGCGAGAGAGAGAGAGAGAGAGAGAGACGAGAGAGAGACGCTGCTAGGTCCGTACATGATGAAAACGTTTGTCGTCAGTCTACTCCTGGCGACGCGCTTTCATGAAGGTATGCGGGGGCTAAAACGTAGATTCCACGTTTCGGATAGGCTGGGTAGACGCGGCTGGACGTCGGGCTACCCCTGCCCTCCCTCCGCCGAAACACGCGCCACCTGGCTCACTATGTCCAAAATCACCCCAACCCCCCGTCCCCCACCCCTTTTACTTATACACTCTGTGGAAAAACTATGAGACCAGTCGTTTTTCGGCTGTAACTTTTCCCCGAATCAAGCAACCATCTAGATATTTATAATTTAGGCTTCATTTTGTATAATAAACCTGCATGGAAAAACTCAAGCGGATCCGATGCGCGCAAGGTAGTGTTTCGGAAAATTGACCACCTGCACTTGTAGAAAAACTATGAGACCACTTTTTGTATTGGACTCTAAGAGTTTCCCTTGGGATTTACTCGCCTTGTTTTTTATGGAAAACGTTTAATTTAGCCCAAAACTATACGTTTTCGTCATTGGTTATGTTTTTGCGACCCATATAAATTTTTCCAAAAAATCGATTTTTACATAGAATTTAGCTTTTAATAAAATTTCTCTGCCAAATAAATTGTTTTCAAAATTTGAGAAATACCATCCTAAAGAGCACGACTTGATGCACATTTTGGTATACAAAACTTTTTTGGCAGAGGCCCAATAAGCAATATTTCGCACTTGCAATTTGCGACTCTGCGGCTCTTTGTTAAAATGCCAAGCAAATGGATGGCAACCTCGACGACTTCCCACATCGACGTGTAGTTTCCCCATTCCGGCCTGTATAGTCAAGTGATGCCTACCAAAATGTGCGTTAAGTCGTGCTTTTTCGGATGGTATTTCTCAAATTTTTAAATACAATTTATTTGGCAGAGAAATTTTATTAAAAGCTAATTTCTATGTAAAAATCGATTTTTTGGAAAAATTGATATGGGTAGCAAAAACATAACCAATGACGAAAACGTATAGTTTTGGGCTAAATTAAACGTTTTCCATAAAAAACAAGGCGAGTAAATCCCAAGGGAAACTCTTAGAGTCCAATACAAAAAGTGGTCTCATAGTTTTTCTACAAGTGCAGGTGGTCAATTTTCCGAAACACTACCTTGCGCGCATCGGATCCGCTTGAGTTTTTCCATGCAGGTTTCTTATACAAAATGAAGCCTAAATTATAAATATCTAGATGGTTGCTTGATTCGGGGAAAAGTTACAGCCGAAAAACGACTGGTCTCATAGTTTTTCCACAGAGTGTAGTAAGGAAAATACTTTCAAAGTCAATTTTAATAATTTAAAGAAAAACTTTTTCGTATTTTTTATCAGTTTGAGGGTTTCTGGCCACGCTTTATCCGAATCCGAAGAGACCTAAGCTCTAGCTCCTTTCCCCTTCGACTTGAATCCGGGAGATGACGGACGGACAGACGGACACCACAGCAAAATTATGATAGTCGATATCTTAGCTCATGATGGATTTTTAATATCATAGAACTATAATATCTTATATATAATATTTATAATAGCTTATTTAATATATCTTAAGCAATCTAGGCGGCCAGGAAGCCCAAAGTGCTGAATTTCGGGATAACTCAGGCTAGGGAGGTTTCAGCATGGAGAGTTTTCGGCATAAAGAGTAGTGGGGTTGGGAATTTTGGCATAGAGCAGGTTTACTTACTTACATACAGTAACGGACAAAAGTAAATCACCCCCCATTTTTGGACCTTCTAGGCCGATTTCCTGAAAATCCCTGGCTGAAAAATATTTAATTGACAACTTACTAGATGTAAAATTACATGCTGATTCCGAATTTGATAATCCGAAAGACCGGAAATTCGATTTTTAGCGCGAAAATCGCGATTTACTTTTCACCCCAAAACACGGTCAAAAACTAACTTTTTTGTGTGAGGTTTTCGGGGTGCGCCATTGTGATATTCGGAATCTCCGATGTCAATTTAGCCGGAATGAGTGTTTTCCGGAGTTTTATTGGGTGTCTAGATACCATCTCCGGAAATCGAGCAGTTAGCCTTCAACGGGCCTTTAAAAGCGGTTTTCGGCGTATTTCAATAGCGGATCCAGAATCTACAGGGTCGATTACATCGGAAATAATGTGTTTCTAATGCGAAGAAAATAAAATGTTTTTTCTAGAAGCATTTGTTTAGAAAGCGCGACCGCAAAAAAGTCAGGTCGAGGAAAGGAGGGCTCGAAACAGGTCAAAAACCATTTTTCCGAGAGTTCTCTTGCATCGCATCGGAAAGAGCACTATCGAATCTATAGGAAAACATTGTTTATGGCACGAAACGGTGACTTTCATTTTTGGCCATTTTGTTAAGCGAAATCGCAGCACCGGCGGCGGCATTTTTTCGGTGGTCGACGACAATTTTTATTCTTAATTTTCGAGGCTTTTAGGATCGCGAAAAAATTGGAACAAACCTTATTAGGGTAATTCGATAGCGTTGATTCCGAATTTGCTAACGAAACATTTCGAAAATCACAGATTAAAAAGTTAGCATTTTTGGGTTTTTGAGCTTTTGGTTGCTTCCTATTCGATCATCAGGAATAGTTGAGACTAAATTATTTTTTGCAAAATGTTTTCTTACACATTCGATAGTGCTCTTTCCGATGCGATGCAAGAGAACTCTGGAAAAATGGTTTTTGACCTGTTTCGAGCCCTCCTTTCCTCGACCTGACTTTTTGCGGTCGCGCTTTCTAAACAAATGCTTCTAGAAAAAACATTTTATTTTCTTCGCATTAGAAACACATTATTTCCGATGTAATCGACCCTGTAGATTCTGGATCCGCTATTGAAATACGCCGAAAACCGCTTTTAAAGGCCCGTTGAAGGCTAACTGCTCGATTTCCGGAAATGGTATCTAGACACCCAATAAAAATCCGAAAAACACTCATTCCGGCTAAATTGACATCGGAGATTCCGAATATCACAATGGCGCACCCCGAAAACCTCACACAAAAAAGTTAGTTTTTGACCGTGTTTTGGGGTGAAAAGTAAAATCGCGATTTTCGCGCTAAAAATCGAATTTCCGGTCTTTCGGATTATCAAATTCGGAATCAGCATGTAATTTTACATCTAGTAAGTTGTCAATTAAATATTTTTCAGCCAGGGATTTTCAGGAAATCGGCCTAGAAGGTCCAAAAATGGGGGGTGATTTACTTTTGTCCGTTACTGTAGGTACTTCATTAGGCACTCGATTCGTCGGTTCATCAAAAGCCTTCAGTTAGCTTCGCTGCTCCTGCTGCTCGTACCCGCAGGAACGTTGCACCAGTCAGCGACACACCCGGGATTGCCGACGACGCAACAGCGCTACCCTCGCCCGTCAGCGTCGACGATCAACAATTGGATAAGGTACACAAAGGAGCACGAATTGCGATCAGAATCTCGAAATTCATAAGGAAGAAATTTTGAATATTTTCGATATTTTGAAAATCTCATTCGCTAGAGGACCGAAAAATATGCTAAGATATTTTTTTATAGCCCGAAAAATCATATCTAAAACGATTTTGATTACAAAAAAACCCTTTGAATGTCATATATGTGGGTCTCGGGTTTAGATAGGAACATCGTGCCTGACCCGTGGCGACCACGAGCAGCTGGCGGGCGGGATTCTACGGCACGGCATGGCGCGCGTCTTCAACGTCAAATTGGCCAACGAAGCGCAGAAGGCGATTGGGCTGGCAGAGCTGAGGGGCGTGGCCGGATTTGCGCCCCCCAGACCATGGGCAGCCTTTCGGGAGCCAGCTTTGAGGTTGGATGCAATCGGTTTTGTTACAATTTTTGGGAATACTTTGTAAAGCTGCAGAGACGCGTTCAAATTGGCTTATTTTCAAAATGTCGAAATGTCAGAATGTCGAAATGTCAGAATGTCGAAATTTACATAAGCTAATTACCGGTGAAACCGCCAAATCCTAGCCAAAAAAAATTTTCCACCTTCTATTTTTTTATCTTATTTCACGACAACATTTTTTGCCTAGAATTCGGGGACTTTACCGGGAATTTTAGCTTATGTAAATTTCGACATTCTGACATTTCGACATTCTGACATTTCGACATTATGATACCAATTCGTTCAAAGTGATTGATATCCGATTGTGACGATTTAGGTGTCGATCGAAAGCGCTCGGAACGGCAAAAAAAGCCAGCACTTGTGATTTTACAATATATAGACATTTTTATTCGCCAAATTTAGCACCAAATCCCCATGAAAACTACCGATTTTATGCAAAAACGGCATGTTAATTGTTTGCTAATCGGGATTTTACCCTTATTTAAAAAATCGTTGAATATCGAGCGCGGGCTACAACTTTTTGTAAAACGAAAAGCGCATGTTGTTCTCGCCGTTCCGAGCGCTTTCGATCGATACCTAAATCGTCACAATCGGATATCACTGCATCAATTTGAACGCGTGCCGGCAGCTTCAACAAAGTATTCCCAACAAATTGTGACAGAACCTATTATTAGAGTCGTTATTCGACCCGGGTCGAAATGGTCGAAACTTTTGCAGGCTCCCGCAGCGAAAACTTTGTAAAATTCATAACTTTTTTTTCTAAAGTTGCATTCCGCTATTTCGTCTTCATTTTTGATTCGGCGAGATCATAGTAACCAAATATAAAGTGTTTTCGCATTGTTTTTAGCAAAATTTAAGCCTATTTGACTCTGGAAAACTTTTTAAAAAGTTAGAAAAACGCTTGAAAAAGTCGAAAATTTGGTCATTTTTGGGCCGAAAAAATTGATTTTTCGACCTAAAATTAAATTTTTTAATTAAGTTTTGTAAAGTTTTGTTATGTTTAGGAATAGCTATCAACAATTTAGCAACAATTTATTTATATAAAAAATATAGGCTTGGGCGGAAAAAAAGTTCGGTTTTCCGATTCAAATGGGCTTAAATTTTGCTAAAAACAATGCGAAAACACTTTATATTTGATTACTATGATCTCGCCGCATCCAAAATGAAGACGAAATAGCGGAATTCTACTTTAGCAAAAAAAGTTATGAATTTTACAAAGTTTTCGCTGCGGGAGCCTACAAAAGTTTCGACCATTTCGACCCGGGTCGAATTAACAACGCTACTTATCATCCAACCTCTGATATAGCAACGAGATCCCCGCAGCGACGCCCATCGAGGAATACTACGCGCTGAGGGAGCCACGCAGCGAGGCGCGCAGTTTGGATAGCGCCGATTTCTTTGAGTGGAACTTCCCGCCCGCCATCGACTTCCTGGACGCACGATTCCCCGCCATTCGCCTCGCCTACCGGCACGCATTTCAGGCAATCTATCGTCGTCGGACCGGCGCGAATGGGCGAATTGACCGGAACACCGTCGAGCGGATGATCGATGGATATCGCGCCGTTTCCCCGCGTGTCGGCCATGTAATCACAACCTTGATCTTAAACGATGATTGCTTGTAAGAATCCCATGCTCGATAGCGTGAACGTTTCTAAAATGTTTGGAAGCGTTTCTAAATTGCTTTTAACTATTCCTAAGCATCCACTTCCGAAGGGACGGCTATTAGGCTACGTTTGATACGTCATTAGGTGCGCAATGGTCTAGGGATCACTGCACACATATCGGATTTTTAAAAATTAGCCATTTTCGCTATTAAATTTAGGTTTTTGTAAAAACATCTTTTGATTAGGAATAATTAGCATAGACCGGAAGTGGGTCTATGCTAATTTAATATTATCTCTTTCATTAATTTAATTTAATATCGCGAAGCGGCTTTTCAACCCAGCTTTTTATTAAATTTAATTTTTACACTTTTTGGTGAATAATATAATTTTCCCCGCAAATTGAAGCCCCTGCGCCCATCTCCGGCTGCCAGCTAGCCGAATCCAACAGTTTCGAGCAAAAAGCGACAACTCCGCCACGGCCGGGGGTCGAACCTGGGTTGTCAGATTGGTAGGCGCGACTACTAGCCACTCGACCACGCGTTTTTAAGATCTTTTTTAGAATTTTCAATTCTATTTGCAAACCACACGCAAAACAGCTCACGTGCATTTTCAGGCAACCCCAAAAATTCGGATACTCTGAATATTTGCAAAAATTTTTATCATTAAAAAACGGACGGACAGAAGCGGGAGGACGGGCGGGGAGACACAAACTTTGGTAGGGGGTGGGTGGGGCTACACACGGCTACACGCGATACAGATTTGGGGAGCGAGAGAGCGCGAGAATAGAGAGACATAGAGAGGGCGAGAGAGATGGAGCGACAAACACAAAACACAAAACGGTCACGATTTTTACCAGGATTTCGAGGGTGGGGGAATTTAACGCGGCGAATGGACGAATGAATGATGTGCGAATGGATGGTGTGGTGGGAAGGGCGGTAGATGACCAACGAGCTGAACAAGTACAGGTAAAAATCGAGGAGGAGAGGAGAAAGAGAACGGAAAACTTTGCTTTTTCTTGTTGTTGTAGCAGTCGCGGTCAATGTTGTGGGCGGGCGGGGGGTTGAGACCTGTGTTGGCAGGGGGATCGGGATCGGGTGATGGACGGACGGATGAGGAGGAGGAGCACGAGCATGAGCAGGGCCGCTCGCTTATTTCGTCGTCATCATCGTCACGAACTCTGCAAAGGAAAAATTAGAAAATTGCAATTTTCCGGAAAAATCATCATATTTTTCCACCAAAAGGCCTCCAAAAATTCCGGAACGCTACGTAAAGGGCGTAAAAACTGGTTAAATAACTTCAAATAATAGCTTCAAAACCTGTAAACGGCATTTAAACTTGCTAGCCCATTTATTTTTATTTAATTAAATAAAATTTATCTATTTTTATTTATTATTTAAAATAATGTTATGTTAATGTTATTCAATACATTTCTTTATACCTATAAAACTCAAAAAATCCTGCAATTTTTAGGTATTCAAATTGGTTGAATTCATGCGAAAGCCACCCTAAAAAACGCCTTAACGAAAATCGAAATTAATGGAAGCCAAAACTACCTAAACCACGCCCAAAATCCACCCCGGAAAATTCCCTCCACCACCTAGCAGCGTAAAAAAAGCACAAAATCGCACATCGCGGACAAATATTCAAATTTTATGCAAATCCCTGCGCCAACCCTGGGCCAATTTCTACTCCCAATTTCCCCTCGGCTGCACGTCATTCCTAAACCCTCCCTGACACCCTGATCATCACCAATTCCCGACGAGGCGAGGGTGTGTGTCGGGTGTCTCACCGTTTTGCATCCAAAATGGGCCTTTCCCAACTGGTCACAACTCCTACTCGATTCCACAATATTCTAGACCTTGTCCTCACCCCACTCCCCGGGCTAATCGATTCCTTGGATGTTGGGGAGCCTTTCAGCGATCACCGGTCCGTCACATTTAATATTGTGATGAGTCACTTTGCCCCGACGGTGTCCGGAGAAAAGGATTTCCACCGGGCCGACTATGAAAAAATGAATGCAAGAATCGCGGGGGTGAACTGGCTTTGGGAATTTCGTGAAGGAAATGCTGAAGAGCTTCAAGTAATGCTCAATAACTTTCTTGCTGAACTTGTTGAGGAATTTGTTCCGCTAAAAAAAGCCTACAAAATGCGACCCTCCGCAAAAATTACAGATCTCCACAAGAAAAAGCTCAAAATTTGGCGTATCTTTGGCAATACTATTGAATATAAGAATGTGGTCCAAGAGCTAAAATTGGCTCTCAACGAAGAAACTATGCATAAAGAGCTAAACTTTGTGGATAATAGCTCCAAGCTAGACAGAACGAGTGCAGCTAAACGATTTTATCGGCACGTCAAGTCAGTGGTCAGAGCTCCATCCGCTATCCCCTCCCTATCTGGAAGCAATGGTGAAATGGCATCCACTGATGGTGAAAAGGCACAAATTCTCCAAAGTTATTTCTCTGCTGTCTTTAATCATGCCCAATCCACCCCAGCCTACTTTCCTCAACGGACAAACGAATCGCTGCAATTTCTGGACCTTGCGCCTCATACCATTGAGAGGCTCATTATGACGTCACTAAAGCCAAAATTTACCAAAACCGCAGATCCGGTCCCAGCCTATTTGGTAAAGGCTTGTGCTACATCTTTAGCCCTTCCTTTATCTATCATCTTTAATCGTTCCATCCATACCGGAACTGTGCCATCGAGCTGGAAGATAGCGTATATAGAGCCGATCTACAAAAAGGGCAAGAAGTCGGACCCATCAAACTATCGTCCAATCAGTCTGACAAGTACATTTTCCAAGATCATGGAAAAACTTGTCAGACGGGCGATTCAAGACTTTCTTCAAACTAACAAATTGCTATCAGAAAGACAGTTCGGCTTTCTGCCCCAAAGGTCCACAACATCCCAGCTATTGAGCCACATTCAAAGTCTATTGCTGGCTGAAGATTCGGGTCTCTTTTCAGACGTTGTATACGTCGATTTTTGTAAAGCCTTTGACACCGTTAATCACGACAGATTGCTTTCTAAACTTGCTAGCTATGGGATTGAAGGACCGCTTCTGAATTGGATTCGAGCCTGGCTATTAGAGCGGCAACAAATGGTCCGGGTCAGCGATTGTCTATCTAATCCAGCCCCAGTTATCTCCGGAGTCCCCCAAGGCAGCGTACTTGGTCCCTTACTATTCGTTATTTTCATTAATGACCTTAATGATGAGCAAAATCTGCCCGATGGGCTACTCTTTGCGGATGATCTAAAATTAATCAGCCACTTTGGTCGGACCATACCCTCTACTTTGCCCGAACAGCTGCATAAATTGGAGAAATGGGTTGCTGACAATCAGCTATTCATTGCTATACCTAAATGTGCGTCTATGCACTATGGGAAGCGTAATCCTAAAATTTGCTATTCTATTAATGGCCAGCTATTGCCTCAGGCTACACAAATACGTGATTTAGGTGTTCTACTGTCCAATGATTTCAGCCTGTCACCGCATGTTCTCCATGTCACGAAGAAGGCTGCGCGAGTTTGCTTTCTTCTTTTTAAAATTTTCCGTAGTCGACTTCCTAGACTTTATATAAAAGCGTTCAATGTTTATGCCCGTCCTATAATCGAGTATGCCTCACCTGTAACCTCTCCCCTTTTAAAAAAAGATCGCATTGCAATTGAAAGTGTACTTAAGGATTTTGTTAGAAAAGTTTGCTATCGATGTAGGGTTGATTACAAGTCTTATCGTTCGGCACTAGAACAATTCAATCTCCAACCGCTGAACTATAGGAATACACTTGCTGACTATTCCTTCCTCTATAAACTCCATAAATACTCTTCTAATGTTTCTACAAGCTCATTTTTTAGTACCAATCCTTCTACCACTCGTGGCCTCCCCTACAAACTACGACCCCTAATATCGTCTAAAAAATCCTACCAGAAAGCCTTTTTTAGCTCAAGAACCTGCGCAACCTGGAATTCCTTCCCCCCCTCAATCGTCTCTGCTTCATCATGTGAAAGTTTTCGCAAATCTATAGCCAAACTCATCCCAATGGATTATGTACTATCTTAACCTTTATATCATCATGCCCCTATTCCTCATCATTATTGACTTTTTCCTTTTTACTGTTCCATTTTTTCCCTCTTTCTCGATTTTTCATACCATATTCCCTCACTTTTAAGCGTTTCTCATTGAAACCTTAGTGTTGAATAAATTATTATAATTTCCAAGGAGAAGCTCCGCAAAGTCTAAAAAAACCTCAAAAGGCCCCAAACACTCGGCAGCAACCGGTAATCGAAATCCCCCTTGAATAAAAAAAACCCCAGGAGAAGCCCTACTACAAAAAAAAAAACCCAAATCCACAAAGCGGTGTACCTTCGTAGTTGACCTGTCCGTCGCCGTCAATGTCGGCCTCGCGGATCATCTCGTCCACCTCCTCGTCGGTCAGCTTCTCCCCGAGGTTCGTCATCACGTGGCGCAGCTCGGCCGCCGAGATGAACCCGTTGCCGTCCTTGTCGAACACCTGCAAATGCAACAAATTAGCAATTTCCACCCGGAATTATTTCATTTTGGTCCTTGCCAAGTGCTCAAATTTTCTATTTTCTAAATTAAATGGGAACAGTGTTTCTCCCCCTTTTTGGCAATTCCAAACGTAAAAATTGCCTAATTTTGACCAAAATACAAAAAATCGATCTGACTTAGGCAAAGAAGATAAATATTCAATTTTTAAACTTTTTGAATTGCCGCCGCCCCTTTCAACTTAAAACCCGAATCATGGTGCCAAAACATGTCCAATTTCACCCCCGCTGATAGGCTCACCGGGCGCCCCTTTTCTTCGGGGGGATCGTAACCAACCACAGCCTCAAAAAGGGGGGCGACCGGCTCCGCGAAGCGCATGATTTTGGTGACTATACTTTCTTTTGGGGGGCCACCCGGGCGCATCAAAAAGGACCGTTGAATCACGCGCGGTGACTAACGATTTCCAGAAATAAATGTTTTCCGGCCGGCGAAATTGGACAACCAAAAG